AGGTGACCTTTAGGACGAAACCGAAGAGATTTCGGGAAACGACAAATTTTTAGTTTGTCCCAAAATTTATGAGAACAGTGTAATACCGACAAAGTTGGTCGGTATCAGTTATAATGCTGGCAAATTTGATCGGGTATTATGTTTCTTTGGGAAAATGGCTTTCTAGATTTTGTGGTAGAACCACTTTACTGATAGCTCTATCAATTCCGATGTGAATCTGGAAATGACACGACTCGAGACATTAATCAGTGCCATATCGGGACTTATATTTGCCCGATATGTTTTATTTCGACCAGTGTGTAAATCGCAACGAAATGGCAAAATTGGAATAGAAGAATTAAAGAATCATAGAATCCAAACATGAGTATAATGATAACAACAGATAATATAATGCAAGTATATTGATACTAATCATCATCCGTGGAACTCGTAAATCAGTGTTCTTTAATTTTGGGAATACTGTTCGTATTTTTTTTTTTTATCAACCTTCTTTGAAAACATATTTTTTATCTTAATATTTATACGAGCTATTGATATGCTAAAAATATAGTTCTATTAAGATTATAACTTGTGGCAATGTATGTCTTTTAAGAATTCAAGCAAAAATAAATTTCTGATTTTCCCTCAAGTCTAAGTTTTTTATTCTTATATATAACATTTTATCAAAAGAAAATAAACTTCCCTAGTACAACTTACATAAACCATAACATATATAAGCCTATGCGATGTTATTGCCTGACCAGACTACTTGTAAAGAGCTTTTAAGCAGAGCCACTTTTACTACAGTACTTTAAATAATACTTCGTCTTTATTTCTACTTTATTTAGTCCAACATCCGGATTTAGATATTAGTCATTCCTTCTTGTAATAAATATATATGCCTAAACTGTAAAAGTTAGAGTTTGGAACCGGTTTTACTTAATTAAACTAGCGAACTGTATTTCGCTTTCAAATTTTATTTCTAATAAAATTTCTTTACATTTTTTTGATCTAGCGAATGTATTTCACAGTAATTTACTGTAGGTAGGTAACGTAGATCCAACGAATGTTAAGACCATATAATTTTTCAACTGTGAAAATTCTCAATCGCGAACATTCTTCAAGAGATTTTTCAACGTAAGTAAGTATTAACATATTACACTTTTGATCTAGCGATTTCTTTATTAACTCGTCTTAACTTTTTGATCTAGTGATTGTAGTTGTGCGTTTGATTCCTTTTGGATTCACTTTTTGATTCATATTCTTTGGGTTAATTTTCTATTTTAGGTCGTTAGGAGAATATTAAAGCTAGAAAAGCATTTTCATGGTAAATAAGAAAACATTAGTGGAGCGATAAATGAAGCTGGTGGTATAAGATAAGTATAAAATTGTTTTTAATTTTTTCTTTATTATAAGCGCTAATGTTTTTGTTTATACCCTCCCTCGTTAACCTACAAATCTGATAACGTCACGAGAAATGGGTGCGAGAGCACAAAGATTAACATCGTATCCCTGGCCAACCTTCTTGAGCTTGCACTTGTTTGAATAAAATAGTTGGAATCCACGATCAAACAATGATACTTGATTTTGCCCATTTGTTTCTTCGGTTTCTTTACATGCTTATTTGCTTAGTCTACTCAAAATCATGTCCAACTTTTCATTTTGAATCTCTAATTTTTCGTTCATTTCTTGATTTTGTGTTTCAAACTTTTTTTCAAGTTTAATGATACGATTTTCGAGATGTTGAATATGAACTTGATAATCCTCCTTAATCCTTTTATTTTCCTTACGAACAATTCTAGTTTCAGTTTCTGATTCAATCATCTTTCGTTTCCGTTCCTTGTTCTTTTTCTTAAGTTGTTGCTGCTGCTCACACATGATCATGGCGTACTTCTTGATATTATCGATAATTTCATGAAAGAAACACACGCAAATACGTTCTTTTAATTCCGAATTTTCTAACTCCAACTTTGCATATTCGCTTAATCTTGCATTCGAAACCAAGAATCCCACATTATTCAAAGGTTTAGTAGAAATGGTAGTCATGAATTCGCGCATATCTTTCATAAGTATCTCACTACCCGGTTTCAACCTAGAAAAAAAAGATGATTTGTGAATACATCGTTGGATCAACTCGAAATGTCTACACTGGGCGATTCTGGAGTTAACACTTCACGGAATTTACGCCTTAGACCTAGGTACGCCATAGTGAATGTGCCACCGCGAGCCCCTCAGCTCACTCCCAGCAGCGTGACTTACACATCCGGTTGTCAAAAGGGTCATGGCGAGCGTTGAAAAAAAACCCCCCGTTCGCTAGCAACAACGTATTCAGCAAGCACGAACACTCACCATTTACTCTGAATCAAGAACACCAAGAGTTCGTACCAACCATGGATATCAACGTTCAGATCTGAGATTCGGGGCATGGAATGTGGATTAATGTACACGAGAGTCTTGTTGATGCATGATCGAATCCCGTTCTTTAAGAGGAATTGATGAATAAAATATTCCGTCAGTTCACCCTTTCTCTCGTTAACGATACGATTATTGGTGGGTTCCAAGAACTTTTCAAATGTCTCAACATTTCCGTAATTCGAACCGATGGGAAGGTGGTGCTCAATGAAGGTTCTAAAAGAGATTTTCAGACCACTTAATACCAACTCAAAAGAGTTCATGGAGTTGTTTGCAAAAAAAATACACACATTCCCAGGTTTTTAAATATCATTTTTTTAGAAATGAAATTAAGTGGATTGTGAGACAAGAAAATATTTGAAAATCAAATCGGTCTATTACTAACGTGTTATAAAAATAAAAACATTGCTATGGAATTTGGGAGCGTGCCACTTGTTTGGGGTACGAAACTGAAATGGTAAAAGATCGGTTAGTGAAGGATCCTTATTTATTAGGTAAAGTAATACAAAATTACGTTTTTGATGCATTTAGCATGCATCTGCATAAATATTATGAAGATCATGTCAGAAACGTAAGTTGGCCGTCCGCACGCGTGTTCAAATTTGTCAATTTAGTGTAACAAAACATGCATATTCACGCGTCTGTGTAATGAGATGATTATCATATGATATGCTCCACACTATTCTAGGCATTTGAAATCTGTCAGATCCCGTGATGGTGTCTGTCACGCCGCGTAATTACCCAATAGAAATTCGTTCTACATAATAACGC